GGCAAACCTGTTTAGTGTCGAGTTGTAAAATGGGCCAGTGGAGAACTGTTGAGACGAGACCTTTTCGTTTCTATCGTCCAGCATGGCACATTCAAGGACAAGGCCGCATAGCTTCGGGCCACCTTTATCACGTGCCATCAATGCTGTTGCCGCTGCTAAACCGCCCCCAGCTGACGTGCCGTAAAGCAGCAGGCGGTCAGGGTCAATGCCTAGTTCCGAGAGGTGCTTACCAGCCCATAATAGCGCTGCATAACAGTCTTCTGCAGGCTGCGTACCGGTATTCTCTGGCGCACGTCCGTACTCCACACTTATGGCGATGGCATTGAACTCCCTGGCCCATATGACACTGGTATCCAATCCCGCGAAGCGATCCGCTGCAACTAAGGCGCCACCGTGGATGTAGAATATGCATGGGTGCTGATCACCCGTTGTCGCCGCTGGTCGTACAACCGAGACCGTTAGATCCCTTCGAGGCCCAGGAATAGTGATGTCCTCAACGATAACACTCTTATCGGTAAGGAGAGCGTTCGTGAGGGGCCGAATCCTCGCTGCCGTGTCCCTCCTAAGTTTCTCGACCTCATAAAACTCAGGCGTACCATCTAGAGCCCTGAATATTGCGTCGACCTCAGCATCATAAGGAGGTCTTGGCAAGCGGTCAGCTGGCCCCGCCAAAATCTTGTGCATTCTGAACGAAGCCGTGATTTGTATAGATAGTCCAACGGGTTCGGGAGTGGTGTAGAAGGGCGGGCTTCCGCGTCGAGTTACAAGGCCCTTGAGAGTTTGGGTGCTACGCGCCCCGAGGAGTTACCAGTCGAGGAGACGGTTGACATTTATATCGGAGCACTACAGGTACAGGGGCTAGTCGATGGCGACAAGCTAACCTAGCGTGTCCATGGCAAGGGATGGAGAACTAACTGGAGACTAACTTAACCAATCGTATGAAGCAGAACAAAGAAAATTTCCGGTAGTCGGTGAGGGTTAGAGAGAAGGAGTCTTTGGAGATCGATTCCACAAAATACGATACCGGCCAAGCGGATAGCGAAATAACTCGCATATCTCGAACCAGCTTAACACAAGTTTAGGTTCAAATATATTTTCCAATCACAACTAACGGTTATAATTAAATCTAAATAAAACTACGTTCCAGTTAGGTATAGCTATTACCTTTGGCAATTTTCTGATGATTTATTCTGTATGTTGAATCTGGTGTTGTCCGTCAGATTTTATGTAAGTGTTAATGCATTCCTTTCTATCACTTGCGTAACGGCCATCTCCTATCTCTCTTCTCCAAAACGACTCGTCACTTGCATAGGTAGGTAGTAACGGGTTACAGTTTGCGCGTCGGCGATAAAAGTGACAAGAAAAGAATGTTGGCCGAGGGGGGAAATATGCAAAGAAGGGGGAGCGATTCTTGTCTATAAGAGCCCTAGTCCCGTGACAAGTCTTACATGCATGCTGCATGCAAGCTGCAATCATCCATGGACTAATACTTTTATTTAGAAGCTATATTGCTGAGTAGAAGCTAGAAGAAGAATCCCAGAGCCATGGAATTCATGGCAGATGCACACCTAAGCGGAGTGCATTAAAGCGTATATTTGCGTTTATGAAGTATGAATAGATAGCCTTTCTTATATCGGGGAGGGGTTGAAGAGTAAGTTTAAGGTAGCAATGGATTTTTCGGACTCGTCATATTTCTCCTTAACAGTAAAACAGATCTGGTCCAATCTACTCACCGATCTCATCACATTCCCCCCATCCCATCCCCAGACGCCACTACACACCATACACACCACTACGATGGCGAGCTATGGAGTTCCGAAGACGACCGAGGTAGTTCGAGGTGCCGTGGTGAATATTGTTTTAAAAGCCGATCAGCGCACGGGCCGCCAAGTAAGCGGAACTGTGCGTGATGTCTTAACACGAGGCGACCATCACCGTGGTATCAAAGTGCGACTTACTGATGGTCGTATCGGACGCGTCCAGAGTATGAGCACAGCTTCATCAACATCAAACAACATCATCTCCGACGGTGTAGTATCAGGGGGTGCTTCAACGTCGGCTGCGGGTGGGCCAGCAGATTTGATAAACGAGACAAATTCACAGCCGCGTGCGCGTCGCCCGCGTTATCGAGACGCGCGGCTAGAAGAGCCGCTCGCAGTCCCACTTGAGCAGACTGAATTAAGCGCGTATATTGTGCCTTCGAGGCGGAAGGGCAAGAACAAGAATAGTCCCAAGCAGACTGACCATCCAGACGGGTCGGCCTGGGGTGATCAATCCTTAAGGAGTAATATGGTGGCAAATTCTATCATGGATGTAACATCGGCCATAGTAACATGCCCAGTTTGTGGCGCATTTGAAGGGGACGAGACTGCTGTGGCTCATCACGTATCGGAACATTTTGAATAAGAGGGTCTCGTCTATCTGAATAACTCGACGACGATACGAAACAGATCATCGATTTGGGAAGGAAGTTTTAGCAACTCCACTTGAACGACAACTGAAAGACCGAAAAAGGTGTGCTGCATATGGTAGATATCACTTCTGGTCCCCAGGTGTATCTACTATTAGGTGCTCTTCCGTAATCGGTGTTCCACCTAACTATCGGTAGCTAGAATGGCTGAGCATCTGGCCTGCAATGGCGGAAGCGGCCATTGATGTAATGTGTTCAAATGAATCGAATCGCTTATGGCAATGGTGACCTCAAGGTCATTCGTTATGTCATCTCTATCGAAGAGCGGGGTGCCATCAGGGTGTCCAACCCGCCATCAGGGTTCTCTTACCTGTTCTCTTATAGCCACCGGTCGACCTAGGAGCGTTCAACTCTTATGTATCTCATAAATCGGCAGTGAACATGGCTACCAAAGAGATAAGTGATATTCGGGTTCGCGATGTCTTGATCGTTGGCGCGGGGCCTTGTGGCCTTGCCGTCGCGGCGCGATTGTCCGAACGCATGCCTGCGGCCAACTTCTCAGACGACGAACATCAAAGATACCATTGGATACGGAAACACAGAAATCAGACTAGCATTAAAAACTATAAGACAGGATTCGAGATGCGTCCGAAGTTATCTACCACCTCGCCGGGCGGTGCAGACCTGGATCTTCTAGTACTCGACGCTACGGATAATTGCTGGATGGCACGATGGGATACTCTATTCAAGACTTTCGATATTTCTCACCTTCGGAGCCCTATGTTCTTTCACGTTGACCCCGCGGAAAGAGATGGTCTACTATCTTTCACGTATAGAAATGAGAGGGGCAATGAGCTAACTGAGCTTCGGGGATGCGTTGGGAAAGAATTGAGTAAGCACCAAAGAAAGAAGAGAGAAAGGGCTGGAAGAATGTAAGCTTTCCTATTCCAATTCCCGACATAGACATACTCACTCAATCATAAAAGACCTCGGACAGAACCCACTGTCGACGAACGTGATCGAAACGATTATTTCGTTCCTTCGACGCCGCTTTTCGCTTCGCATTGCGGATGTATCATGGACCGCTACGGATTACGTGGCAATGTTGTTAGCCATGAAAAAGTGGAAGATATTCGCTATGACTACCTCGAAGACGTGTCTGATGTCGATAAAGTCTTTGCAGTCCGAACAGATAGGGGTATCCATTACGCAAAGACCGTAGTGTTAGCTGTGGGTGGTAACCCACCCCAAATCCCCGAGAATCTTACAGAGGGGACGGAGGGGGCAACCCACGCTATGCATATCAAGGAATTTCCGTCCTCTTACGTCAAAGAAAGAATTAGAGCGAGATCCCAGGTAAACATCGTGATTGTTGGAGGAGGGTTAACATCGGCCCAGCTGGCTGACTTGGCTATTCGTCGCGGGGCAACCAAGGTATGGCTGCTAATGCGCGGGCCCCTTAAAGTGAAGCCTTTTGACGTGGGACTCGAATGGGTGGGCAAGTTTCGAAACTTCGAGCAGGCTGCCTTCTGGACTTCTGACTCCATTGAAGAGCGATGGGAGAAGATAAAGACTGCTCGGAACGGAGGTAGTATAACGCCGCCATATAAGAAAGTCCTCGACCGTCATGTCTCTACTGGTCGGCTATGCTTGCTACAGAACACTACTATCAAGAATAAGAGCTGGGATCCGTGCTCCAAGACTTGGACGGTGTCACTATCAGACGAAAGTCAAGTACTCCCCCAGATCGACCACATCTATTTCGCAACCGGCGTGCAGAGCAACTTTGAGTGCCTGCCCTTTTTGAAGTCGATGTGCTCTGACTATCCCATTGAGAGCTGTGGTGGCCTGCCCTGTATTACGGAGAATATGGCAGTAAGCTTGTTCCAAATTTGTTTTTTATTTATCCCTAAACACCTTACCTGGGTGGGGATTCTAGTAATTGTCATTTTTGTTCCCCGCCCGGCCTTATTCCTTTCTCAAGCAACGCAACACAGCTAACTAAATTATTCTAACTGTAGTGGAGAGACGACGTCCCCCTATTTATAGCCGGCAGACTTGCTGCGTTGCAACTTGGCCCCGGCGCCCCGAATCTAATAGGCGCTCGGATCGGAGCTGAGAGGATCGCGTGGTCGATCCAGGATACTTTAGGTGCCAGAGAATCCGGGAACGATGTTGATTCTGGCAAGCGTGAATTTCATTACCTAACTGGTAGAGGTAGTCGCTACGATGCATTAAGCGAAATGTAAATATTACGTTAATTAACATACTTAATTAACAGTCTGCCTTCCTTAGCTTATTATATCTAGTACAGCTGCATCATCAGCAATGGATGTCAAGCATCTGTTTATCCGTAGAAGAACATGATAATTACCTAGGTATCTATTACCTGTATTCAATAAAAATTCATGAGCCACACTGAAAACATGATAGATAATTCATAGCAACAAGGAGACTTCCGATCGCAAAGAAACGCATAATCGAAAACACCAAGTCACCAACCAACTCAACTGAGTTTGAACGTCTTTCCAAAATTACAAAAGGCTTGGAATGACAAGGGAAGGGAAATGACGGGGAATCCAAAAAGATTTGCCCCCACACCGGATTGAACGATGGACCTCTCCATTTCGCTTTCACGCAAGTCATGATATGATCACGTGTTACGAGTGGAACGCTCTACCACTGAGCTATAGGGGCAGGTTGATGCCAATTTTTGCCAGTATTACTGTATATATTTCATTTTACCACCGAGATCGGCCCAGGTCTCATCAGGCCGGACATACTTCGGACAGGCTTAACTTGGGAAAAATGCAGTACAATTCAGTTCCGTAATTGGCTGGAAATATTGCTTCAGGCACTGTTTGTAAAACGTAGAAGTGAACCAAGGAAGAACAGTCCATAAACTACCAGTCGCGCTATGAGGTACAATCCAAAAAGTGGGATCTAAATACCAGAGAGCTGGCCGTAGTCTATCAATTGTACGCTCGTTCTAAACGGATACGTGCGCAGGAACCCGGAAAGACTTATAGGGAAAGTACGGCATCATGATGGGTGCCTACCTATACCGGCTATATCGCGCCTTCCTCGTAGATCGCTGCCATTCCGGAATTTTAACTCCTACCGGCACGGGATTACCAGGGCAGTCGCGGGATTCAGCTGCGCAGGAGCTCACCTCGTGCCTGTTACTAGATCTGGTTAGCGCTGCGAGGTACGTACCTTGGATATGGCTTCACCACGGTAATTAGGCGATCGTTTGCTGAGATTCTGGGAGGTACTTTGTGCATGAATATCCATCTCTCCCGATTTTATTTTACTTTTGAATTAAATAGTCGCTCAATTCGATAAATATACTTCGTTGAATTCTTCTCAAACGCTGGATAGTGCGTACAGCATTCCGTCTTAAAACGACCTGCGACGCCAATGTATATACACTCTACATTTCACGATCATACCTAAATTATACAATTGTCTAAAACTCATCATGGCATCGGGAATCACTACATCTTCTAGTATCCGGATGGCCGTTACAGCTCGCAACGAGGAGGGGAACTCCATTATCCACTCGGACCAGGAGGGAGTTCCTTCGCAATCTTCGACATCCGGTCTTCTGCGCCCGTAAACAACCAAGAAGAGCCCAAGGATCTCCGGAACAACATTACTCGCCCCGCGCCGGTGGATGTCACGTTCTGCATAACGATTATGGCCCCCCACCACAGTTCGCCGATGCACTGCAGCCTCAGCCTAGACTACTGCGCCGTGCTTTCGGGCGAGATAGTCCTCGAGCTGGATGGAAGCGAAGAAAAGATTATTAAGGCGGGCGAAGTCGTTGTGCAACAGGGTGTCAACCACGCGTGGCATAACCGGACGGATGATGTCTGTAGAATAGCTTTTGTTATGGTGGGGGCGTAAAAGGTTAAACTTCCTAACGGCCAGGAATTGAGCGCTTTGAAAAGGGGCAAACTCCATATTCTACATACTTTCTTGGGCATGAGCTCCTTTCATTGAAGGATTATTGACGAAGAAGAGCTAGAGGTTTAGCATATGTAACGAGGCGCTGGGTGGCATTCGCACATACCTCAAACATATCCAGTATAACCATATTCATAAGATCGTAATCGTCGGGGATTTCGCCAGACTTTTCCAAAGCCTTGCCAAATGCTGAAAGCGATAACCCGTAACAATGGAAGGCTTTTATTTCCAATGTACTGCTCCTTGCAACCTTCGATAGATTAGCATACGCCGCAGCTCGCACAGCCCAGCGTAGAACAGAGCGGCCTTCCACGTTCACCCCTTTAAATAGACATGGAAGATGTTCGAGGAAACCAGGTGATAATGTCACATTTCATGGATATAAAACATATTTATCGATAAACTGATTAACAGCATCGTCTTCGGGAGTAGGTCTCAAATGATCCAAGATAGTCTTCGACCATGGAAATTACATCTGTAGCTATAATTCGGCAGCCTCCTCCGCAGTCAGATTAGAGCGACCTTTAAATCTCGTGGAGGGATGGCTTCCGGATCGGCTCCTCCAGCCGTAATTCGGCGGGGTCGTCGTGACGGGCGATATTGCCATAGCGTTAGCATGCTCGATAACTTTTCTCGTCTCATGACGAAATATCATACTCGATTCATCACGATATCCCATCCCTCGCACACCTCATTGCGACTCATGCAGCGCCGGCAAGCAGGACGTCCTTCGTCGCACTTGACTCTCTGCTGGTGGCATCTTAAGCACCTACGACTAAGGCGAGACATCATACTATTTTTTGAATGAAACCAAGTTATAGCCCTCTCACTTAAACCTAAGAGTAATTTAGACTATAGATAAGTTGTGCAGCTGCCCTAGCTTAAAATTGCAATAGGGACATGACTTTTATGTGGCTTATCACCTTATTAGCTAAGACTTTTTAAACAAACAGTCTGTTTGATCTGCTTGTCTCTCAACTAATTAGGTAGATACAAATCTTTCTAATAGGTACCTACCTCAGCCACTTTTCCCTTATGTTTGCATCTTTGGTACCCTGTATTAGTTTCTCTATCCTTTATTTTTATGAGTTATTCCAAGTAATAATTGACCATTTCAGAGATAGATATTGCTTGCGGGCAATAATAATCGAGCGACAAGTAACACTAGTGCCTGAGGTACCTGTCAGGGCTAGCGGCACCATCATCCCATGCGACACAAAACCAAATCAAAGACAAGCAAAAAGACAATCCAGTTAGCACGTAAATCTATAAGGTTAATATCGTGACACATAATTTTTATTCACTAAAACTCCTTACTATAGTGAAAACCGATATCAGTAAGTTTGGGTGGATCGGAAGCGTCTGGGCTTGTGGCGGTGTCCTATCGGCTTTTGTTAGTGGAATAATTACAAACCCCAGGTAATTGCTAACGACAATCACAAGGATTTCCCGCTAGCACCATTAGTTACCACCAAGAACATATACACTACGGCTTGAAGTCTTCACTGTAGTTAAGTTGGTGCAAGTTTGGTATCTATAAGGCTTCGGTGCGTGGGTACTCACGTACACTGTTTTGCAACTATCGATAAATAAGTATGATATAATATCAGTAGTAGTGGGTGTGAATGCGTTGTGGGATTCGTATTGCATAAGCATGGAATTGGTGGTAAATGTAATAGAAGATGCTAGCGTGCACGCTTCTTAAAGATCATCTCATTAGAAGGTGGTTGCACTGCGGTTCCAGCATCGACTGCGGGGCGTTGAGAGTCCAAACAGTTGGAGAGTTCTATACTGGAGCTGTGCCGCGTGACAGTAAAACAGTCGATGGTCAGTGTCTAGAAACTTGAGAAGGACTATCTATCTTATCATATGTTACAGCAACGTAAAGCCTACTGCAACTCTTCTCTCCAATCAGAAGGGACGATAGTTTCCAGTTCTGAATAAGGCTTGGGCGATACCCTGGTAGCCATCTGCCGAGCTAGAACGTTCTGGCGGAACTTTCGATTCAACGCCAAGTTTGCGGAGCCGGGGTGGGAGGACGAGAACGGTAACTGCTAGACTTATTCAAATTGATAGCACCGTCATATAGCCAATCTTTAAGGTTTTTAAATGTTACATATGACGTGAAACGGTTGATTAAACTAGCACAAAGATCGATTGGTTTCGTAGATCTAAGGTTGCCGTTGGCGATGATGGCGCGTTGGAGATTGACCCTCCTCCGCGTTCCTCCGCATTTACCCCAGACGAACGACGGTGGATCGACAGCCATATGACGTGCCAATGAAAAAATGCTCGAACCTTCGAGCGGATCGATCTCGAGGTTTGCAAATGGGATGCTAGTCTCTCTCTCGCAGCGTCGCACGGCTAACATCGAAAATGAAGTCATTCGTCACGAGACATCATGAGATGGATGGCCCGTCCAAGCACCTAACGCGATTATATAGATGCCAGCGCCTCTTTCGAGCACAATAAGGATCTGTCTTGGTTTTCCATCAGCATTGACATTCCAAAGAGTATTCAAACGCATCGACACAATCTATCACAGCCTATATCATCACTAAAAACAACATTAACCATGCCTTTTGAGGGCCACGGATTAACAGACGACGCCATCATTGGCGCCCACGACATGATACATCATGCCGAACAAGAAGAGCATGAGTACGAAGCCGCTATGAAGCGAGGTATCACAGACGAAGCGGCAGAGGCCGAATACGAGTTGATACATGGAGCTGAGGAGCGAGCTGCTCGGGCTGAGGTAAGTTACTGACTGGCCAAGGTCTGCCCAAGTCTCGGGAGATGCTAACTATCTGACAGAGGAGACGTAACTCTTTCTCTAAAGTGAAGAGGACGTTCGAAAAGTTTATTCCCGGGAAGCATTAAGGTCTTTCTGGGTTACTGACCCGCTTGCAGCGAGTGAAGTGCTTGTATAACAAATTGAGAGTTTGATGATATCCTGTACTTGTACACGCCTTAGGGCCTATGCGGACTCAATCCTGAGTAATTAGCACTTTTAGTTGTATACTTATAATATTACTACGCCTTCAAAGTTCATGTACTGCGTAAAATCTATATTACTTTTGCTCGTAGTGATTGTCATGAATAAGTGTTGACGCGCCCTGATACGGTATTTTGTTCGCACTCCGTAGAACTACCATTGCGCTCCGGTGGTATCTGCAATCAGGATCCTCCTTTACCACAACCTTCGCCACCTGACCTTCATATCTCTATCAGGTGGTTTTGCCACTGCATTAGCGTAGCGGATGTCATCGATTGCAGCCCGTTCGGAGAAAGACCCGTCTGGTTTAACCCATTCAACGAATTCTATATCAAATCTGGAGACCAACATAGATACTGCAAGCAGCACTTCAGCATTTGCAATGAAACGTCCAGCGCAAATACTAATTCCACCACCTGTTTAGTTTTAAGTGATAGAAGTATTAGTATCAACATCCAATCATTATTATGCTGGCTCGGAGACGAAGATGCTAGTTAGCCGCGTCGGTATGAAGAACTTACCGTATGGGAAGAAGGTCCCCGTTTTCCCAGACATGAAAAATTCAAGTTTCTTAACCACATTTCCAGTTTCGTCTGCTGTCTCTATTTCCTTGACGTGTCGATACCCCCAGAACTCAGAAGCTGGATGGCCGGGTTTACCCCCTATACGAGTACTAGCATTAGCCTAGGCACTTCCATATGGAAGTAAAAGCCAATATAACTCAATGATA